CACCACGTGAGAAACGTAGCTAAACTATAACTACACGAGGTTGCGGAGCTACCAGCGATATTTATAAGTATCTCGCAGAGGTTTCCTCGAACAAGCGCGTTACATATCCGACCACATTCGACCACGTTCTCGGTAAGGTGATGCGAACCAATATGGCGCCAAGAACGCCCTTTCGGTCACGCTTCTCGGGTCTCGTTTCTCCCTCTTCGTTCCCCACAGGGATTCCAGGATTTCTCTTCTCTTTCCAGTCTTCCATCGAGCCTGGGAACTCTGGTTTGGGTGCAGGGGTGACTCCGTCATCGAGTTCGCCTTCCGTGGTCTTACATTAAGTGTGGTTGGGTTCCGGAGACACGCCCTGTAGTAGTCACTGTGGACATTATTAATCCTCGTACAAACGTCCCGTCTAGCGTAATAAAATTAATGGTATAATTAATGATACAGTTAATAATGCCATTATGAAATAATCCGGGGTCGTCGAACCGGAGTTGTCATCATTTCTGAGCCATTTCGCGGCCTCTCCTAACACGTTCTAACCTCTCCATCTGGTCCATCTGCGTCGCCTCCTCTTCGTCTCTCTCATTGACCCTCCCATCTGTTCGTCTCTCTTCGGGACCCCGCATTAACATTTCCAGGCCTTGTCCAGGAATAGCGACCATTATACGACACTGCCGAGTCCCGGTGACCATTGATGGAGTAACAAAGCCGGACCCTCGCGCTTTAAGCACTTTTAGTCGAAAGGTTCGAGCAAAGCTCTAATCCTAATCCTCGGTTCGATCTGGTAATCCGCAGGGCTGACTTCCCGAAGTGATCCTACTTGAGCCTCGCCACTTTACGGCTCTTTAAGACGCTTCCAGGTGACCCCTGCCTGGTTTCGGTTCTAATCCCCATATCGCTCTTCAGGCAACTCTCTTCCACCGACAACGAAATTGGACCTCGTTTGGTCCCAGCTTGAATTTTTCATCTGACCCTTCTAGGGATGAAGGCTGCAGTCTAATGAGAATCTCTCGCAGGGCGAGAACCGCTTATCACGGTTATCAGGGTTATCACGAGCGCAGGCGACGACCGTTACCTGGTCCCGATTAGCGTCGATACGGGCAATGCGCTTTCATTTAAATAATACGACTCTTCCGGCCGAGGTTGAACCAGTCATCGCGTTTCATGTCGCCTAGGCCATGGTGCTCGTACATGGTGCCCTAATCGGCGAGAAAGGAATCGAGAAGCACAGCTGAGCGAGATAAGCACTGCCAAGTAAATTCCTAAATCCGTCTGATTGGTCGATCCAGAAAATTGGATTCCTAGGAAATTAAATTTACTCGAAGCCTCCACTTTCCAGGCCTTAGAATTAAGCTCGGGTAGCTCCTTGAAATAACACTTTTACGCCTCGTTCCCTTATCCCCGAATCCGCGATCCAACAGGATCCCGTATATTCCCAGCCACTTAACCCTTTGGCTACTAAGAGCGCCTAAAGTCACCCGACGTTTGGTCCAATATTGCCTGCACGGTCAGACGAATTTCGCCCATATGTCGAAATGGCTCCTTTTAACACATTCGCGAGAGGAAAATTTTCTCCGTTTCCAATACCGAGTACCGGCGAAAATAATGAAATTCTTAAACTAGTTGCCGGAAACTTGTATCGTGTAACGTTATGGACGTGATTCATGTCAGTGGCAATCAGGAATAGAATTTAAAATGACGTGAGTTCACGTCAGCGGCAACCGGGAATAGAACTTGAAAAGACATGAGTTCACGTCAGCGGTCGCGAATGTGTTAATAGAACCTCTTAATTATGAGAGCCTTCTCTCCTCCGGTTTCGGGGAACAGCTGATAACGATGCACTTGTCATAACAGCCGATGATAGTCCTTCGAGGGAACTCGAGATCTGGCCGACTCATCGCGTCGAATGTAACCCCTGATTGGGAATGAATTTTTCGAATCCCCGAGAGGGGACACCGTAAATAAGAGATACGCGGAATCTATCTGACCTTGTCGCACGGGTATTCAGCGATAAGACTCTCGGCGCGACACATTTTTCCACTATCAGTTGGAAAGTGTCGAAAATAACAAATGACGCCGGCGCTCAATAACAAATGCATCGTGTACGGAAAGTGCGGGGAATTATTTATGCCGTGACATGGCCTTGGTGCACGCGTAGAATTATCGATAAAAAAAAAGAAAAAAGAAGCCACCGCTCGAAGGGAGTGACATTCACGTGAAACGTCGACATTGCTCGATGATCGCAGAGATGCATAAAATGCACTATTCGTCTCGAGATGACTTAACCACTAATTCGGAATGCTTAATTAATTCTTCAGACACGATGCCTCGCTTTGTCGCTTCCTTCTAATCTACCCGCTTACGTCTCAACGCATTTATCCTAGTCAACGAGAGTACGCGTCCGAATGTGTACATTATACTCATGTACTCGGCGCGCGTGCTTTCCTGGTTTTCTTATTTCTCATCTCCCGGTTAAAGTCCTCGCCTCGACACGCGTATCTCACGCTTCTAAATTCAGGGAATATGGCGAGTACACGAAGTGTACACGGGCCGTACATACTAGTGCACGCGTAAGTGCGACAAGAGGTGAAGAATTTGCGAGGTGTCTACACTGATAAAAATGCCCATGTAAATGTACATACTCGATCATTGGTTATTTAGATGCCACGATAAATTCCAGTAAATGATAATCTAATGTTACATTAAATTCGAGTAAAAATTCAGCAATACAGTGAGTACACAATGTTAAGTGTATTTATACATTTCCTAATTTCTAACTCCTCCATTTTAGGGTTTTGTATACGAACCTTAAGGGGATGTAAAAGTGGCATTCGAAAGCTCAATCGTTCATAAAACTTTTCTACGAACTGGGTGTCTCAAATCGTGTCATACTTTAAAACGTGAATATGGAGACCCAAAGGCAGGTCCTGAAACTTGCGAAATTTCAATTTTTATAAACTATTTTTAAAATACCTATAAAGAAATTTGAAAAGAATTAAAATTTCATGAGCTTCAGGACCTTCCTTAGAGTTTCCCTATTCACGTTGTAAAGTTTCAAACTATTCGGTAAATCGAGTTGGGATAAAAGTTTGATAAACAAAACCTCTTCGACGCCACTTTCACATCAGCTTAAGTTATAAAGTGTGTGAAAATGCATGTAAATTTCCATTTTTTTATCAGTGTACAGACGATGGAGGTTTTTCTTCGCAGAAAGAATAGACGGATACTCCGTCGGTCATTCTAGCTTCGAAATTAAACATAATGTGTAACGTCAATTCTCGCGAGGAAAATCTCGCTTACATAGACAGGGAACCGCGTAACGATTTACGGTTTGTCCCCAAGGAGGGAAATAGGACTCTTGCTCGGGAAATCGGAGCGGACGCGCAAAACTGATCGATCCGTGAAGGTGACTGATGTGTACTTCTTGCTCCGAGAGAAGACCCTTAGGTGCGCCGTCGAGAGCTTTCGTGACGCGTTCAGCTGCTTACTCAATTGCGCGGCTCTTTTTTGCCGACTTGAGCAGTGGCTTTGCCCAGCTAAATCCACCGAGCGAGTCTTGCGGGTGCGACGAACTTGCGTAAGAAAAACGCGTACTCGGGGGCCACCTGAACCCCCGCAAAAGTCGCTTCCTTGCGCCGCCATTTTGTCATACGAATGATCATCGCCTAAGCCTCGTCGATCCGCATTTAGCGGTCGTTAACGACGCTAAAAGTGATTTCGAAACTGCTACCAGTATCTGCTGAAGAACCAGCAATTAGTACCGTTAGGGTGAACAATTATACTTCCAGCCGTGAAGTCAACAACCGGTAAAGCGAGCATCGAAACAAACTTCGACTGTATTAAATCTCGACAGTTTTGACGTCCATCTTATTTTCCTGGATATCGGGTCGACAAATATTTATTACTTCCCGTATCTTTTGCGCGGCTGCGATTCCTGAAGAAAGTCGGTTTTCCGACGCACGAGAAATCCCGCTATTGCGACCAGATGCTTGCGGAAAGAGTGTATATAATTAATCGCGATTTCGATCCACCGGCTTGATAGAAATCGCGGGTGTTACGCAAGGAGAAAAGGGACTCGGGAAATTAACGCGGAGATTCCCGAGCGATCCCCTACTTTGATATTGCGCAAACCTTACTTGGGATACTTCCCATATGCATCTGGAATGATGTTACGAATTCGCATAATGTGGGACGAAGACATTGCTTCGTGACGATCTGCACAATATGGCGGCGTAATGGCGTCCCGTTACTCTACGATATCTTTACAGTAGTATAAGAAAACTCTGGAGCTGGATATGAAAAATTTTGCTATTATTATTTATTTGCATTATTACAATTACTCGGATTAACGTAAACGTCATATATACACATCCGTGATTTTTTAGTGAATAATTTCATGCACGGGAAATAATTCGCCTTTAACTTTTCACATTAAGTGACTTCGCAAAGGTGTGATTCGTTCCGAGCATACGTGAAGGAAAACTCGTGGAAGGCTTAACGACAAGGTAGAAAGCGTGTTAAATTACAGGAAATATGAACAGAGGAGTTACCCTGGGAACCATGTTTATGGGTCCTAGCCTGGAAATCCCTGAAATCAACCTCGGCCACTATTCACGATAATTTATAGCTTTCGAGGCTCCTTTACGCTTTACCATTTACCATTACACGACTCTTACACCTTCCCCCTCGCAAATAAAATCGTTAAACAAAGGATACAGGGTGTTACGGCATTAACGTTTCCCTCGGCAGGAAATCCTAGGTCGGACCTATCTAAATTCTTAATATTCCAACGCCTCGGACGTTACAGCATCTTGTAACGCAATTACTCTTTACATAGCGTACATCCATTCAAATATTTAAGAACCCGCGCGAAATACCGGATAGTGCCATAAGTTGACTAACAAATATAAAATGATTAAGGAATTAATTTCTTACGACGAAACGACACGCAGATCGATTGATAATTAACGATGCAATATCAGCAACATGGGCTTGCCGTCTTCTTGGTGGTTTTAACACCGCGTAGAATTTTTTCTAAAGAGATTTCGTTGCAACGAAAGTTTTCATTTACTTATGGAGGATTATATTTAAATTTTGCGGTAGTACCGCCTGGTGCCTAAAGAGCATTACTAATGTTTCATAGTATTCTCTGCAGTGCGTCGTACTGCGTACAGCTGCTCGGCGTGCCGAGGGTAATGAATCACCGGACCCGGCAGACTTGTAAACACTCGAGGGTTGCATCGCTCTCGCTGTCCACTTGCCGACCTTTCCTGTTCCAATATATCCGCAGTGAAAGATACAGTCAAGGATAAAGGGAGATGAGTGATGGAGTGGCGGCCTTCAAGGTTCCGAAAACCGTTCCCGCTTCCACATGTCCGGTAGTCGGCCGATCGGCGTCGCCGCTCACCTCGACGAATGGTCGATTCACTCCCCACAACTGAAAGATGTTTGCCTTAAAAAAGAGAATGCATTGAAAAGATCCGACGTGATATAAGAAAGTGAGACCAAGAGAGATATCTTGTGATACTTCAGCAACTCGTGGAGCATTGATCTCACGCGGAGCAATTCACGGCATATTCCTCTCGATGACGCCATTTTGTTTCCGTCACGAGACCGTTTGTCCCAATGAGCCATCTGGCTAAATATAAGAATTCCGAAGATAAGTGATACATAGAGTGAATCGTCGGGTGTTAGGACTTGAATCGGATCGCCTGGCAAGAATGGTGAATCATCGGACTTGGCAGACGCGTAAACACACGAGGGTTGAGAGAGAGATCATCCCGGGCAGGTAGTGCTCTCGCAACATTCTTGCAGCATTCTCGTACCGCTGCCGCCGGCTACGCCGCCGAGGCGGGACCAGCCCGGTGCAGCTGCACTTACAGTTGTATGACCTTTTCGATGCCACACAGTCGGGCCGAACATTGCCAACCTCATACACCAAACGCTACTTTAAAGCCCCGCCGGAGAAACCTGAAAAATGCTGCGCCTTCAGATAACGGAAGAGCTTAGAACTTCTGGTTCACCTCCCCCTTGACCTCCTTCTACAAATAACGGATATCGAAGACCCCGAGTCTACATACAAGGTGTGATAAATGCTAATATAAGCATTATAACGATTAATTTACGTATAAATAGTAGTGAAAGAAACTCGGGGTGCATGCAGTAACATGTCCGGTCCTGCGTTCGCCGAATGGATAGTAGACAATAGGTTGGTAGACCTGTTGCGACTTGCATGGGATCGCCGTAGTACTCGCCGAGTCTAATTCGCTCCCCCACCCCGAATCCCGAGAGACCGGTCGCCTCGCCTATGCGTCTGCTCCCGTAAGAGCGAGGAGGACGCAGCTATGCGCGGTCTCTCGCTAGCCCCCCACCCCTGACCTCGCGGAGGCACATGTGGCGCGGCCGCGGGCACCCCTCCCTAGCTGGGCGCGGGGACCGAGGCTGTCGCCAGTTGGCGCGTCGAGCAGTAGCAAACAGTCGAGGCTCGGCGATCGTGGCGGTTGCCTTTCCCGTTGGCACGTCCAGACATATCCGCATATCCGACATATCCGAGAGACGCGCAAAGGCTCCGCCGAGCTGTAGTGTCGAGTGGACCTTCGGTCATCGGTCTCGCGCGTCCTGGACGGTGCTCAGTGATATCAGTGCGGTAGTAGCCGAGCCTCGCGGACGGCGGAGAGCTAGCCCTGGCCGCTGATCGGTGCGTCGCGGCGCCACGGGCCGCGCGTCCTCGCGAGTGACAACAGCCGTCGGGAGGTTGCGCCGACCTCGCGGACCCGCGCCCCAGGGGGACCGAGGACGCCATGTCTTCCTGATCGCCGTAAGGCGGCAAGTTTGCGTCGCGAGACGCGAGGTGAGTCTGCCCCGGAGGAGTCGTGGCTGCCGCCCGGAGCCCTCCGGCGCGCCGCGCCCTCTGATTGGCCCGCGCGCCGCGCCCCAGGGGAAACCACTGACAGCCGGACGCCTGGCTACTCTCGCGGTCTATTCCGTGCTGGAGTAACCTTAAGCTTGTTTTTTACCTTGGCCCTAAACCTGACAACCCTAACTTAATCGTCCATTCAAGGAATTCATTAGCAGTGTTTATGCTTCCCTTATCATAATGCTTGGTACAAACATTCTATATCAATCCTTTGCAGTAAAAAATAAATTAGGATTAAGTTATGAACACAGGAAAGGTGATATCAAGAAGGGAGAGCAGTGAGTTAGGGTTAGGACCAAAACACGAACCAAGTTTTAGAGTGCAACGAGCTGAATATTTCAATTCAAACTCGAGTCATTTTTATTGGAACTCCAGTGATGTGCTCTGTGAGTAACCTAGAACTTAATCTCCATCAACGAATGTAGTTGTTAATTTGAAGTATATTCCGCTCTCGATGCAGGAAACCTGGGTGGATCGGGGCGCGATGCTATTCCGGACGACTGGACATCGATGTGGGACCGGTTCGTCTGGTGATCCACTCTATAAAAGTACCTTAAAAAAATGGTTACACTCCAGAAAAGCACTCGACGACCTTGTCAGACAAGCATGGATGGCGAAAGAGAGAGAGAGAGAGAGAAATGTCGATGTCCTATGATGTTCTATGAACACTCGGCAGGGATTCATAAACAGCTGTGTGGACTTAGCGAGAGACTACCGGGTGTCTTGACCCTCGTATGGGGAGACGTGTGACGTAGTGCTTCCTCGAAACGGTGCTAACGTCCAGTCCATCCGGTCACACGCACACAGCCGTTTCTTTTTAACAGACTGCAGCGAGTGATCGTGCATCATCGACAGTTTTCTAGGCTCTCTCTCGGTATGAGAACCTAGGGAAGGGGTAGAACGATTCTCGCGGTACTTGTCATCACTGTAAGGTAGCCTTTTGACCATGCGAGCGTGTCGACGTTGTAACTTCTCAATGGATACAATTGAATTTTTATTGGCACAATTTGCGGTACCAAAAACGCTCCGCCGTTCATGGGGCCACCTATGCGGAATGACGGACGCCCCGAGGACGAGCGTCAAATTGACAGATAAAAATCAACGCATCCGCAGAGAACGCGATTATTTATCAGTGCTCACCCACTCGCTCGCATCCCGCCTCGTCGCGGCGGGTTGTGCTATCTGCGCTGCTGTCAAAACCCTGCGCTCTGATTGGCCCGCGGCCGACCAATCACGTCGCAGGGTTCGATTTTTCGAAGGTCGCCCCCTTTTTCGAACCTTGGCAGGCCGCTTAACATTCGTGTCCGTTATTTCTATTCTTTATGCCTTTATGCCTTTCCATACTTTTAGTCATTTAATTATTCATTTTGTGAATAATTCTTACGTTTTATTGGTAGTAGACGATGTGACACGAAGGATAAAGATTCTCGCACGGTGGGAGTTTCATATGTACCGTGTCTCGTGGTTATTAGAGAGGCTAATTTCATGCGGCGTGGACTACAGCGGATCCGTAGTAACCTGGATTCCGTTCCGGAAAGAGTTCGCGACTGGAACCTGAAAATCCTCCGAGGGACGACTTTCACGCGCTCTTCGCGATTCGCCGTTCCCGCGGCGAGTCGCGCGGAACGGCCGCTTACAGTCGACGGGTCAGGAATGCGAGATATACGGGAGCCTCTTTTAACGCTCAACAAAGTCAGACGCGATTCTTGGGGTTAGGGATTCGGGATAAGAGCGAATCTTCGATCACGACGCCCCGCACTCTCTGTGACTCCGGTCTGACGGGGTATAACGTCGTTAGGCGTCGCAAGGAATTACGCGTTCGCGACGCAAGTGCGTGTCTTAACGGACGGATCCTCCTTCGTCCCTGGATTCGCTTGAGAGGAGCGTACGTTTTTTATTAAAGCGCGCCGGAAACTGTAAGACTCCCTCCGAGGCGACCCTTCCGACCTAACCTCAAACGTGACGCCGGAACTCCCGGGGTTTTCCCCTGTAGCTAAGAATTGCGCGACGACGAGTCGCTAGAGAAAATCGAGATAACCGGGTGAGTTGCGGTTTTTTGACGTCTCGAAAGGAAATCGGCCGATGTTCTGTACTCTCGGACATGCAAATATGCGAGAGTGGCGAGTGGGGAGGGGAGACACGTCGCTCGATGCATGCACTGTATTAAATCTGTGCGTACCGTTAAGTCGTCTATACTGGAATGACGTTTCGATGCCGCCGTGATAAGGGAAACGCGAGGAATGCAACGGAACGATCGCTTCTGTTCATGTCTCTCTTCGATTATTTTTGTCTCTTTTCGTTTTCCCTCGACTTTGAGCGCCATTTTACGCTTGACCGCGGATGCAACTTGATTTCGCAGTTTAATGGTCGAAACGATAATCGATATGATTTATATCGAGGTATTGGTAGGCAGAGGGTGCTGCTGGGAACGCCGCAAATTTGAACGTGGAATTGGAAAGCGGGAACTGATGGGTGTCGAGAGGGCGCATTTTCTTTCTTTTTTTTTTCTTTTGCCATTCTCGATTTTGACGTGACATACTGCGAGAGGAATGCCAGGAGCTGATTTCGAGGGCAAATGAGGGCGTATTCTGCGAATCTGCTGTGTCGGTATCTCGTGGCGCTTGCCGCCTGTTTATGCGATAAGGCGGACATCGTTTGTAATTTTTTCCCATTCTAATTAAAGCGCTGGTGTTGCAATTCTAGAGATATCGGGATTCGCCTTGGTTTCGTATTTCTTGGGTCGGTTGACCCGGGGAGGAGATTCGTATAAGTCGAAAGCACGAATTTCTTTCTGCGAGTAATTTGAAATGAGTGTAGATTTGATTTGACGTAAAAAGAATCAGATTACTATTCTGCGACTTGGTTCTGTAGACTCGGAGTGTTGAGAAGTTGTTTTCATTTAGGCAGGTCGGAGCGATCGAAGCATGTCTAGTAGAAATTGTTTCGGTTATTTATTTTGATATCGACTTCACCTTGTTGGGGAACGATGTGGCTTTGTGGTGCAATGGATTATATATAGACACACGCATGAAACAGTTATAATGTAGACTCTAACGTAATGTGTTTCCTGTTACAGATAAAGTATCACCATGAGCAGTAGATGACTGTCAGCCGAGCTGCTGCTCGTCCAACTTTAACATGAGCGAAGTAGCGTCTGTCATAGTGCCCACTAGTGGTCCAATTCGGCAAGAAACTGTGGCACATACTAAAAAGCATAAGCTCGCAAATTGCAATGTTCCTTTAGTTCACGGAAGACCAAATCCTCCTGTCAGTGTCTGCAATAGACTGACAACTCATCAACGAAATCATAGCTTGGACTTCAGGTAGTTATAACCCCTAAGGAGAATAGAAATCAAACTTTGAAGTATAACCCTAGTTTTTAGATTGTTGAAAGTAAGCGTCCTAGTGGATTATAAAACTTTACCGTTGACAGGTCAATGGGAATCTTGTTGCCACCGGTCCCACAAGTAACTGCGACCACCTTGACGCTGCATCACAGGAATCGAAGTCTTGATTCCGCGTTACAGAGAATCCCAGAGGTAGACGTAACACCAAGTCCGGAATGCGAGACGAATCCTGCTCCTGCAATTAAGGCAGCTCCTCCTATCAAAGGACGCAGCAGAGAACGAGAGGACCTTGCTAGCTTGGGATCCGATGACTCTGGGATTTTGTGTGGTTCGGACAGTGGTTCCAGCGATGCTGCACTAGCAACAACGAGGGAATCCAGCATCGATCATTTGCATAGCCGGGAAAGCTTGGACTCATCGTTGTCGCAAGCTGGTGACATGGAAAGTGTCGACGCAGTGGACTGCGAAGAGAGCGTCGCGTCGGTGTCTCCCCTTGAAGTAGTGTTAAGTGATGCCCTGCGTAAAGAGTGTAAGAGCAGTGATAGTGTCTCTCCGAGTGTCGAGGACAGTGATCATGTGCCCAAAGAGTTGCCTAACGGCGATTGTTTGCCCAAAGAACCACAGCGCAATGACTGTCAGTCCAAAGAACTACGTAATGACGAGGTGCAAGTCCTCGTGGACTATCAAAACTCCCTCGAGGTGGCGGTGCAAAGAGAGCTGGCTGGTGCTGCGATGACATTGTGCTGCGGCACTGGCCAGCCAGATGCGGAAACCGTCAAGAAGCCCCTGGAAATCCGAAGGCAGGAGACAGCTCAGCCGAAACCCTCCGAAGGATGCCTACTCAGGTTATTCGAAAGTCAGATCTTTGACATGTCGATGGCCATTTCTTACCTTTTCAACTCTAAGGAACCAGGCGTTCAGAGTTACCTAGGTGAGCACAGGTTTGCGTACTCCCTTCCCTGTAAGCCAAGAGTGGTGGTTAGGTACTTAAGACTACGTTCTTTTAAATCTAATGATTAGATATATACAAGATTTGAACGGTTTAACTCGTTTTCCAGGTAACAAGATGTTTAGCTTCCCCGATAACGAGGTGGATTTCTACTTGCCCCAGTTGGTTTTGATGTACATACAATTACACGACGTTACGGAGGTTCTGTATCCATATCTTGTGCACAGGTGAGCGCTTGGCTCTTAAAATTATACATTAAAAAGATTCATATAATTAAACATTGGTTTATCAACCAGGTGTAGGCAGTCGGCAGATTTCTCGTTGAAGTGTGCCTGGTTGTTGGACGCGTACAGTTCCGATGCTCATCTTCCATCGAAAAAAAAGTCTCACGGGACCAAGCTTAAAAATCTGATTCTCTCCGACGAGCTTAGGTGAGCCGACCGTCAAGTACCAATCGAACGATTACCGAACCCAATCTATGGGAATATAAATCGAATCTACGATTTCAGGCCAAAGGGGAACGAAACGGCGAAGAAGCAACGTATCCTCGGTCTTCAGGTTCCCGTGCCGCCACCATTACCCATCCCTCAGCTCGTGACTTCCCCTAACAAGAAAACCCACCAAAGATCGCAGTCCGATGCCACCGGACTCTTCCAGACGCTTCGTCGTAGTCACTCTGGTACACCTGTTTCCGAATTCCAGACCGAGCCTATTTACATTGACTGTTGTCTTATCCGTAACGTAGCATGGTCTACCTGACGAGTCTCAGGTGATGGTCGCTGATATCAGCCATTTTGTCTAAATCGCTGATATCGGTCCGTACAAAACCTACCTACATCGACTATCGTCTTATCGCAATGTAGCATAGTATATTTTTTGGCATCGAATCGCTGATAACAGCCGTTTGTTCTTCCAGGTCTAACGAATAAAGTGAGTCTCGGGGACCTGAGCTCTGGACGAGCGTTCGATAACGGATGTACCTGCTTTGACTCCTGCCAGGGGGTAGTTAACGACCTGCGAGGACAAAAGACCGACTGCGTGTGTAACGTACGTTGTCTACCGTGTCCTTACGCTTCTTCTCGCTGGTCGCCATTGTCTATAACGAGTCCTGGAATAACGTGGCACCGGGAATGCGCGCCGATAAGAAATGAAAAAAAAAGGAACCCCTCTGATGAACGCTGCGAGGCGGAACCCAATACGGTTTAATGGCGCGCGCGGTCCTCCTCGCATCGACACCAGAGGAAGCTATTATTCTGCGCGATCCGATAGAATCTAATGGGACCAGGGAGAAACGCTAATAATTATTTTGAGTCGACCCGTTACAAGGCAATGATCTCTCTCAGGCTCCAAGGCTCGCTCCGGAACTCGAGTTTATCCGGGCGTTGATATCAATTGGCAAACTGCTCGGCACCATACCCACGAAGGAGAGCAAAACCGTTCAGCTGGTTGCCGAGTTGAATACCCTTAATGTGAATCTTCCTGCGAGAGTCTGGCTTCCTCTGCATAGCACGGTTCCGCATCATATCGTCAGAGTGCCACCGCAGTACGCTGCGGTGTTGAATAGCAAAGATAAGGTACGATATGTTTGGTGACACGTTCGGCGACACATTTTATCCGGCACTTTTGTCTCGATCATGCCGATTGGTCTCGATTTCCAGCATCACGTGTTCACGTTTAATTCCAGGCACCATACATAATCTACGTTGAGGTCCTAGAAGTGGACGACCTGTACACCTCGCCGGTACCGACGAAGATCATGGGTAGCTCGTTGAGACACACCAAGTCCGAGGAAAACCTGACCGGAGGGGAACCCTCCAATCCAGCTTCCTCGAGCGTCTCGAGCTCTGAGGTCCAACAGAACATCGTGGCCACAGCGCTGAGGCAGACCCCAGTCAAGTCCAGCTATTCGGTCAGGAGCGTCGACGTTGCATTTAATTTCCCCGACGACGACCCCAACGACTGCTGGAGCCAGGAGGACGACGAGATCACGCAACAGGTAGGTAGGGGTGGATCGAAATAAGAGAAGAATGGTCATCTTCGAGGAGCCGTGAAATATCCTCTTCCTCGCAGTACCTGCAGTTGCGCAAGCCAAAGGACAGGGACAGCATATCGCAGTTGAGTCAAGAGTCTTCCGACAGTCGCGAGCCGATTTTCGTCCCTGGGGACATAAAGAGGCGACTCAGCGAGATGGCAGCCACGCCTAGCACTACCTTCAACCACGATCCCGAAGACCCATCGGCCGCCGTGTTGAAGGAGCCCTGGGAACTCAAGCAGCGACGCATCAGGGCGTCCAGCCCTTACGGTCATCTCGCTTCCTGGCGTCTTCTGGCCGTAATCGTCAAGTGCGGGGACGATCTCAGGCAGGAACTTCTTGCCTCGCAGCTACTCTCGATGCTGCAGAGGATCTGGCAGGACGAGCACGTGCCCCTGTGGGTACGACCGTACAAGTACGTGAGGGTCGTGGATATAAATCCGGTTTCGAGCGAAGAGTTGCTACCGTTGATTCTCCAAATTATCGCTTTCATTAATTTTTCCTTCAGAATCCTGTGCCTGTCGAACGACAGCGGACTGATCGAGCCCATCCTGAACACGGTGTCCCTCCACCAGGTCAAAAAGCACTGCCAGCTGACGTTGTTGCAGTATTTCGAGCGCGAATTCGGACCGCCCACTTCGGAAGGATTCATCACGGCCCAGAAGAAGTTCGTCCAGAGTTGCGCGGCGTACTGCCTTGTCAGCTACCTTATCCAGGTCAAGGACAGGCACAACGGTAACATCCTTCTACACAGCGACGGACACCTCATCCACATAGACTTCGGCTTCATCCTTTCTACGTCGCCCCGGAATCTGGGCTTTGAGACCTCGCCCTTCAAGCTCACCCCCGAGTTCGTCGAGGTGATGGGCGGGAACCAGTCCAAGATGTTCCAGGAGTTCAAGAGTCTCATCCTCCAGGGCCTCGTTGCGGCGAGGAAGCACATGGACAAGATCGTCAACCTCGTGGAGATCATGCTCTCGGGTAAGGATAACTTCGTCTTCACTGCTATCAGCAAATGGACGATGTGTTATCGACTTGTTTATTAATTAGTTAAACCTCGATATTTCCAGGTTCTCAGCTACCGTGTTTCCGGAGTGGCGGCGCCGCCACGATACAGTGTTTGAAGAACAGGTTCCATCTTACTTTGACCGAAGACCAGCTACGTAGACATGTTGAGGACCTCGTCGAGGGCAGCATACACTCCTGGTCGACGAAGCTGTACGACCGTTATCAGTACTTTGCCAACGGCACTCTTTAATCCGACTTGAGTGCACCCGATGTACATACGGACACGCAATCCCTCGAGAACATCGCTCGACGACCTCCTCGATGGGACCTGAAACGCCCTTCTGACGAGCGAGACTTCGCCCTCGTGGAGAGTTAACCTCCTCGATGAGCTGCGTAAACTTCTCAGCATTCCAGAACTTCGCCGCGGGTGTTCCGTGGATGTGTGCTAGAACGGGACAAATCGGAGACTATTGAGATACGAGGACTCTTGGTGTGAGTTGCCTTTCTACGTTTTGCGTTCAAAGTGATGTTCCTGTTGAAAATGATGCCAGGGGATTATTCGCGTTACTTGGCACTTCTCTTCTTTTGCCGAGTTTCATTGAACTTTGTTTCACAGGAGTGCTTCGCTTCAGTGTCGGGATGGGCCGTTCGTAAAGTTCCTTGGAGGTGTCACTGTTTTTCCCCTCCTTTTCTTGAGAAATTCAGTTTATCCGTCGAGGCTGAATGAGTGATTGTGTTGTGTTCGATCTCTGTTTGACAGTCGAAGGGGTATCAAGAAACCGGTGTAGTCAGTAATAAACGGCGCTTGTTATTTATTTACGTCATGTGGTCATTTGTTAACGTCAAGAGCTTCTGCTGAGTGATACTAGACTTTTTATCCTGTAACAGTGATCTGTCAAAATTATTATTCGGCGTTATTTCGTGATGTTGACGGATAAGATCCTTGATGTGTCACTTCATTCAGCCCTGAATGGTTTATTTTACGTTTTTAAATCGACGCGTCGTTACCGTCCGCACAATGGCTCTTCGAGTGATTGCTCAACTGCCGGTGTTGTCATGCTAGATGGAGGTGTTTCATAGTACGATCGTTTGTTGCTCAAATTTGCCACTGGCTGGTGAAAATAGGTACGGAGGAAGGAAACGAGAGAGAGAGAGATGGGGAAGAGCCCGTGATTGTGTAAACCGATGCCACATTCCATTTTACTTCTGCATACTTTATGAGACAGAGCAGTGAATCTTATAGGTTAGGATGCAGGCAGTCATTGGTCGCGTCCTGGAATGAAATTTACAAAATTAATTACTAATGAAAGTGCTACTCTAGTGATGTCAAGAAAGTGAAATGGTTGTGATAAAATGATGACAGGTTGTCTGTTTCTATTCTATTATGACCAGTTACGCAGTTTTTGTAGACTTTGGGGACATTCCCCTGTCTTTTTCACTCCGATAGTAAACGAATATTCAAACGCCGCCTCAATATTAAATGCGTTTTCTATTTTTCATGCACTACTTGCTTTTCCGCCTTACAGTGATGCCAGTGGTAACTGACAAGTTTCTTTACGTTCGGCTAGGAATGTGTTGAACAGTGATCAAAAGATTTCAAATTCCTGCACGTATCGATCTTCGATAGTTCGTAATTGCAATTTTGTATTTTGCTCTAAGAATTGTACTTACTCGTCACTATGGTGATTCGTGAGTCTAAAAAAAAAAGTAATACTCAGTGCTCTAATATCGAGGCAAGGACGATTCTTTTGTACAGTTTATACATGGACTAAATATTTCCAATCGAGTTGTGTAGAGAATTGGAGTTAACATGAGTATGTAGCGATTTTTAAAGAGATCCTACTCTTAGTTGAGATTTCTCGACGGAGGAACTTGAGGTCGAGATAGGTTCTACCGTCTTGCTTTATTTTCTGGAAATAATTAGTTCACATGTATGTCGTCTGAGTAAGAATTAAAGGGGTTTGGTAACTATCCAGAGTAATTACACGTGTGTGGTAACCGTGCCCGTGTGCACTCAAATTTACGTAAACAACGATCGTACACAAATTGAGTTTAAGTCGGATAATTTCTTGGCTGTACCAGAAATTAACGCGCTTCGTTTTACAGACTTAATAGGTTAAAACTAGTACAAATTCCACTCTCGAGTACTGTTCTATCAGTCAAGATACACCAAGGCAAGCCTCGATATCATTTTTCCATTTTCTCGCGATGAAGCAATTCGTGAAACGAGCGTTGAGGTTAAGATCCGTAGTCGTTACGCTTAGTGGCGTCGATATCGAAACGGCTAAGCACACCTCGGGTAACGATTACTCCACAAGTTGGTTACTTCGGTGAATTTCGAAACTCGGTTTCGCGACAGGTCCATCGTAGCTCGTGCCGGAGTAATTGGTTAAAGGTGCCTTATATGTAGGGAGTGCGATGGCAACGGCGAGAGCGAGTGTTTTATCGTGTCGATCGCGAGTGCGCGACGGAGCATATTATATCCCATATATCGGAACCGCGGACGAACGAAAGCGAAACGGGCTTGCTAATTGTACATACAATAATGGATATTCTGGCTGGAAAATAGTTAGCTTTCGGCGATAAGCAATTGTAACATAATGGGACGCGTCCTTCTCGAGTTTCTAGGTTAAGATGCAACGGACGATCTTTCGAAGTCGACGCGACGTGACTTTAACGGGAGATGAATACTCAGACATATTTCCTACTATATGTAAACGTTACTATTAATTCTGATAGTCTTAACGGTCGATCCTAGGCGAACCTTGCAAAATCACTAATGAAAGTTTTTACATGTTCTTATCACGTAACTCGGTAGATGCATTACGGAGTATCGTAGCTGTGCAGAGACGATTATTTAAAATAGTATTTCTTCGTTACGTACATTATCATTTACATGGATAAGTTATAGCAGAGAATGTATGTATGTGTATATATGTATATACATACATATATATATATATATAAATTTCGAGAGCAGGAAGGTTTCTTTTCTTGTTAAGAAACTGAGATAAACCGAACGTCAAATTGAAATCAAAGTCACGGAGTAACGGGCCAATGCGCATGAGATATGGGCTCTCCGACTTCCAAGTGTCTTATCTCTCTACCTATTTTACGATTTCTTTCTTGTATAATCCATTTAACGATAGAAACGTGGACTAGGTCTGTGAGCATACTCTTACATTTCACTCCGTTCGCGAGTACGGAGGGGAAACGCCTGTTCTGCATTCGAGCGAAGCTATGCTTACTCTAAAGTATCCATCGTTTCGTTACCCCGTGGAGAATCAGAGTTAAGCTTTTCTGACTATTACGATGATTTCATTCCTGGTCTGCCTTGCTCTTCAAGAAGGGCTAGCGATAATATTAATTATTAAATAAATATGAAAACTAATTATCTGTGTCATGGTTGGGATTACCCTCTGCCTCGATCTTTGGTTTAGGTGACGAACAACAATTTACAATCAATTATTTGTGTATTGCACATTTTAAAAATTCAACAGGTGATAGTAGAAGGAACCAACAATGAAAAGTCACATAAAATCTTATATTCAGCTTGTTTATCTGTACACTTAGTCATGCGACGTTGGAGTTAACTGACTTATGATGATAAGTAAACAAATAGAACTATACATATGTGGAAACATCAGTCCATGGGGAGTGGGAAAGTACGCTCGAGCGTGTATATATACACATGTAGGTACATTACACAGAACCATTAGACGGAAAATGGGGCAAAAGCTTAATTATCATAAATATATCACATTACGGTTTCGTTATAGAGATCCAAGAAAGGAGTTATATTCGAGAGAGCTGCTGCAAGAGGTTGGATGGTAAAACCGCTTCAAGCTTGTCCAGAATATAATAAAATGGAAGAGAGAGCCAAGCTAGCATAGCTCGGGCCACCACACCCATCGTGTCAGGGTACTGATGCGTCAGCAGGGCCAACAATGCTGTAAAGGAGCAGAGGCCTGCTGTGAAAAGGATAAAAAATGGCAACTCCTTCTTAGGGTACACGCTTACATCGTGGAACGAAGGTAAAAGTTCTCTATCCGCGCACTCTGTACACGTCGGGTAAGGATAGAATAAGTGTCCTCTTTCTAGTGGGTACGGAAGCATTCTGAAAGTACCTTCCCAAGTACAGTGTAGTAAATTCAGTGCACCCTCCATTTGCTTCCAGTGAGCGAGGTGGAAGAAAGCGTACGCGATAGCTTCCGAGTCACCTCGTTTCAAAACGTGCTCCGGTGGCAAGATGAGAGGCTTCATTTCTAACAAATACTTCGGCACATGTGGATTAAACTCCACTGCTCTGTGTATGGCCTCAACCGCTGTCATCTCTGCCGTCGTTAGTCCTCTTTTGCTCGCTATGTCTGGGGAGAATTTGTCTGCAACTGCTCGCGCCTTTAGTAGCGCGGCGGTGTAGCAGATGGTTGCAGACTTTGGAAGGCTGATGTCGTCGTATTTGGCTAGCACAGCCTGCACGTCAGCGTATGCCTGCATTTCGAGCAATGCTTCTATGAGATTCTCGTGAATGTTCAAGACGTTCATGATAGGTGGGACCTCCTTCGTGAGATCTCTAAACATCTTCACTGCCTCCTTTAACTTCCCGAGCTTTCGGGCACACATGGCTAGTCGCCTCTTGATATAAATTAGAACGTTCGTATCTCTCCTGTGGATCGCTTCCGCTATCGAGCCTTGGTGTTGAGTATTTTGAGACTTCCTGTAGTTATTTTCTGCTACCTTCAGTGCCTGCTTTAAGATCTTCTCTGCTTCTAAAATTGTAGTTGCTTCTTCCTCGGCCAGTAAGATGTATGCAGGAGCGCAGTCAGGGTTGCGTTCGAGAGCACTCCTCGCCGTTTTAATCCTTTCCACTGGGTTACGCTCCCGCCATGCTGTCTGCATGAGTTTGTACTCCTCTTTTCCTGTGTCTCCTTCGCACGTAAAGAATGTTTGATGATCTTGAGCCGACAAGTTCATATCGTAATATGTTAAGGGCTCCTTGTTGGTTGCCCAGTAAAATCTCTGATATTCAGCTCCTCGAAACAAATTTATCGGGTTTCTCCATACTTTACATTCTGGTACGTTTTGCTGATTAGAGGAATTAGTGCCACCTGCACCTGTGTTATTCCCATCCCCTGTACCGTCACCTCCTCCGATCCAAGGAGATATGTGGTTTAAGGATACCTGCTCAATAAAGGAAGTTCCATATTTTCTGAAGTACCACCACTCAAATATAAGTATCAGTCCAGAGATGAGTGATGAGGTACCAGTTAAAGCAACGTAAAACTTTGGCGTTAAAGTACTCAGAAACATGGTCGAGTCCCACATACTTGTAAATAATAGAGCCATTTAGATAGAACTCAGCAAGTGGGCGACGTCATTGAACGAGCAGTTTTTTTCGGACGAGTTTTCCTCAGTCTTTAGATACTTAGAGATTCTCGGTTACTCTCACAAATCAAATTATATCTGTTTAACTCTTACGAACCGTTGTTTCATTCGCAACATAACCTCTGTTTCACGGCATGTTACAGTCGACGGTGAGAGCACCGCAGCGCCACTCTATTTATAATTAAATACACCTTCGGCACTGTATTACTTCATAATTAATTTCATTACTTCCATAAATATTCACCGTACCACTAATTCGTACCGACAATACGTAAACGAAATATCGTAGCTTGGCGTAGCCTCGGTTACGTCAATGAATTACGATCCACAAAGAACGTTCTCTATACTATCGGAAACTTGTAGCGATTATCGACTCACGCTAGATAGCAGAGATGAGTTGGGAGATTGCTCACAGAGATGAGTTGGGAGATTGCTCACGGAAGGGATCGTGCAGTCGCATCCTGTGCTGCCCTCTGGTTTCGTACGTTAGCTTTCACCGTTTTTTGCCCCCAAGGGCGGCACAACGAATTTCTGATATT